TTTTTTATTGTAAATTTTACACCGAGTTAACAGAATAATGTTTGAATTATTTAGCTAAGATTGATTTGGACTCTTTTCCACTCATTTTCAAATACCAACTTTTTAAATAGTTGTCCAACTTTTTCATTCTTCTGCTAATGGTTTTCTTTTGAAATATTCAAATGTTTCCAGGGAATTTGTTGTCGAGTATCAAAAAAAAGCATGTAGACACAGAGGTTGACCGGTTAAAAAGTCCTGACTTGAAATGCAGACCACAAAACGATGAGCAACTGGTCCGTTAGTGGCCTATCAAAAACACGAAAAAAAAGATCACATACAAATCAAAGGTTGATTGAAAAACGCAATTTAAAGTTAGAAAGCTCAAAATTTTGTCTTCTGAAAATTTCCCAAAGACCGGAAGATAAAAGAGATATCCGCAGAACTACCCAAAAATTTTAATTATTTATTAGAATTTAAGATTATCTGTCTTAAAAAATATTAGTTTTATAGTTTTCGCATGCTGATCTAAAAAAAACAATATTCCAACAAAATAAGAAAAATGAGAAAACGATCAAAAAAAGGATCAGTTTACTTAGTTGAAAACAACAGCATCTAATTTTAAATAGAATTTTTAAAGCCATGAAGATTACATGGTATATTACTTACAACTAAATTGATCAAGCCACCCTTTTGTACAAATTACCAAACCTTAAATATTTTATTTTTCTTCCTCGCAAAGTTTTTACAGAAATAACCTTTACTTTGCAAAAACTTACTCATCCGCACAGCGTTATTGATATATCCAAAAAAATTAGTTATGTTCAACCAATCCAATAAACCTCACAAAATTTAAATAAATTGTTCATTACTCAAAGCTAATCAGTGAACAAAAACCCAAAAATTTTAGTACTGATAGCCAAAAGCTTACAAGTTCAAACCATAACGACGATGCAAACAATTTTCTTGATTCAGTAGGCACTCGACCCAGGCGACGCTCAAGACGCGAATGATATCCGAGAAAAAACAATATTCATTTCAATCTTAAAAGATCCAGCAGCTCAATGATATCGAGAAACAGCAGCAGATTTATCTTGGAACGAAATGAGAATGCAGTTTATAAAGTATGTATACATTCACTGATGTCAAACATACGTAAAGAAGACGAATAGAAGCAGAAAACATAAAGAGACAAACTGATGAATTTATGAGAAATATTATAAATAGGTTAAGCGCCGCAGTAAATAGTGGTTAACCAAATCCAGCTTTCCCCGATGATCAAAGAACACCGAAGAATGGAATTCTTTGTCTGAGGATTAGACCACCAGTCTTGAATCAAAATACACACCAATTTTTAATTGAGATTCCACCAGCAACTTGACAGTGACGTTAAAATCAATTGGCTACCAAAGAATAAATTTTTGCAGTAAGTGATGGTATTACTGAAACAATTTCAAATAAGGTCGATAAAAAGTTGGAAACAGAGTGAATAAACGATCTATTTAAAGATTTAACAGGACTAATGAATTATCCATAAACAAAAGCTGCCTTTTATCTGAAAGAAGATACAAATAGATAAAACAACCCAATGATTTGCAAATGATGTTGCATGTCAGGCCATACCACAAGCCAGTTCTTCAAATGATGCATCACTTCAAATAAGACTAATACTTTCTGAAATTAACATAAACCTGGCAATAGTCTAAGATTAGACTATAGTTTTAAGGGATTGAACCCCCAGAAGGAATAAAACCGTAAGTTAAATTTTAATGAAAGATCCCAATAGCGTGACAGGTCGAAGAGTAGTCAACCTTTCGATCAACATAACGATTATCATTCACATACCGGAACCACAAACAATAGTGATATATTTTTTAATCAGGCCGTTTTATCACAGATAAATCAGTAATGTACTGAAGGGAATGTAAACTTGCCAAATGTAAAAAAAACGAGAACTAAGAGAGACAAATTGATGATGAAAAAATTGGCAAATTTAGAACTGTAACTAACATATTCTGCAAAGTTAATTAGTACAATCGGATTAACCTTTGAGTCCAAGTAGGGACCAATCGTTCAATTTCTGAACTCATTGTTCAAGTTACAAAATTCAAGCTAGCGGAAGTTCATCATTTCCTTTCAATCTCATCAAATTGAGTAGTTTTTTACCGTTATTCAATATCGTAAATGAAGCAAACAAGTTCTTTCAACCAACCTGCCGCAGACTTATGTCAAGGTTTGTTGGTGGCTGTACGAGCTATCAAAATTCATGGTACCATTTTTTGAACCCAACGCAAATGATTGTTAGTGGCTGTCTGAGATCTTATAGAGCTCTCCGCTAAATTTTGGCCAGATAAACAAGTTCTTAAAGTAGGTTCCTCCAATCGCAGGCATTCATATCCTCAAATTCAATTTTTTGAGGAGATATATTTTCAAAATTAGAACATATTAATATTAACATTGTCTACATAAAACTTTACATCAAGAATTGTAGGAAGAAATTTTCCTTTTTTGAAACTGTGCTCGTGATTTACTACCAAAATTAACAACCGAGAGGAAACATAACGTTTCCAATTAACTGTTTTCACATTTGGTTTTTTTGAAAATCCTTCTTTTTGATGACTCATATTGGCTTGATTGTAGTTCAAAAATTTTCTGTTTTGTATCAGATTTGAATAAAAACTGTATCTTACTCTGACGAAAATAGTGTCAAACTAATTACAGTGTTTTGAGTATTTATAGCTTTATATAAATATATTTAGTTGACACGAACAAGTTTGTAAAGCTGTTTGCTTTGTTAAAAATATTATGGGCAGGTTGTAACTAAGGAATTGTTTTATTTTTCTGCTTTTCATCGTAGAGGAACACAAAATTTACCAATATTTGAAGCGAGAAGATTGCAAAAAACAACCAATGTTAGCTTGTGTAAGACACAAATTTTGCATAATTTCATCGTTTTTCGCAAACAGAAAATAGATCTGTGTAATGACATTGAGCATAGAGTTTGAAACGGTTCTGAACTGGAAACTCTCAGCTTAACTACACAATATCATGAGAAGATTAAGATAAAGATAGCAAATGTTTTTTTTGCTGTTCTAACCAACGAGAACAGTACCAGTAGAATCAAATCCATCAACTATAAACACAAATTGAATCTGGATTTGATGATGATGAGTGCTACTGAAATCAAGATGGCGAGTATCAATTGGATCAAACACTTCCATGATATCAATTTCACGAAGAATGAAAAAAAGCACTGAAGAGAAAAAAAAGAGAAAAGAAACCAATGGTTCCAATTATTTCACTCATTTTTTTACAGTTTTTTTCAGTTTTAAATATAAAATCTTCTTTAAACGTTTAACCGAAACCATAGAGGCTGACCGGTTAAAAAATGTCCTGCCTTGAAAAACAGACCACAAACGGATGAGCAACTGGTCCTTTTGCGGCCTATCAAAAACACGAAAAAAGCTCGCATGCAAATCAAAGATTGATTGAAAAACGCAGTTTTAAAGTTAGAATGCTGAAAACTTTGTCTACTGAAAATTTCCCAAAAAACGGAAGGTAGAATAGATATCCGCAAAACAAACGTTGTGAAGATGAAAATTGAACAAAAACTACCACGCCTTCTTGTTTTTCATTTGCTCAGTCGAGTTAATTTTTTTTTCATAATATTTTAATGCTTTCTTTTTGTTTTTTTTTTGTTTTTGGAAGATCTTAAAATTGCCTAGGAAAGACGCAAAGAAAAGAGCACCTGCAAATGAAAAACTGATTGGTTAAATACTCTTTTAAAGTTTCAGAGCTCAAAAATGAGTTTACTGCAAACTTCCCAAAGACCGGAAAATAAAACAGATATCTGATTAGTTATAGTCTATGAAGATTAGAATCAGACAAAGGTACTTTGAAGTTTTCGTGATTTTAGATTGAACCTGTCTTAAGTTTTAATTTTTTTTAATTCCCACTCTCATTTCGATCAGTCGAATTAATAATATACTGAATAATTTTATTTCTTTCTTTTTCTGTACTTATTTAATAAAGTTATTAGGGTAAAATCATAGAGTTCTTATAAGTTTCGGAAAAACAAATGCAGCAACACGAGTCTAGAAGAACTGCTGACCCAACACTCTGAGAGACAATAGGAGGACCAATCAGGCAGCAATCTAGACGCAGATTGCAGACAAATAAAGATTAGTTTAATTGTAGAAAACTAGGTATTGATTCCATGCCTGTTGGAAAAAAAGGCAATTGTTCATTAATTTTTCACATCATTTATATTTAACTATCCATCAAATCAATTCATACTCTTTCCTAACTATTGTTTTTTATATAAGTTTTGTCAAAACAAATGACGATATAAGAAGAGACATATAACCTACGATAAATTACTAAAAAACAAGAGAGGCTATTCGAAAGCACTTGTCACTCTTAGTAAACATCATATAGAGCTTGTTGCGATTATTGGGAGAGGTTCTGTTTTCTTTGTGCTACTCGCATTTCTCCGGTTAAAAAATTTTCAATTGTAATTTAGCATTTCCAAGGTCGACTTTTTTTGGTGTTTCGGTTTTTTTAACCGTTCGGAGCGCTTCGGACCATTTTGGACAAACTACTGTAACTCAGAGCTTAACAATCAATTGGCTTTTCTTGCTTTTCTAAAAATTTTGTTAGATTCAGTAGTCAATTGTTTTGTGAATTACATTATTATCAGAAGAAAAACAATATTTCCTAATAATGGAGGCGGCTTGGGCCTTATTTTTAAAAATAAGATAACTTATGTTTATAAGCAACGATATTTAGCCTCTTTCTGATCCCAGAAACTTTAAGCGACTTTATTTTGTAAGCGTACTCATTGTTATAGAAATTAAAGATAAAAGCGTTTTGACTAAAATTTGAAATGTTGACAAAGATAGCCTTGAAATCTGGTTAATTTTTATTCTTAAATTCAATCTGTTTGGCTTATCTAGCATTTTTTTTCTCAACTGCTTTTTAAATTTTGAAGAGCTCGTGTTTAATTTGAGCCAGTTTAGCTTTGAATGGCAACTGGATTCACTATACCTGCTGGTATATTGCTTTGTGATGGTCTATTAAATCAAAATAACAGGTGTACTTTCAAACTGGTCTTATATAACCGGAGCACGAAAAAATACACAGCGACCAGCAGATAAACAACCATGTTTCAAAAATAGACATAAGCTTCACAAATATTCATTTGAATCCTATTGCAGAGGATTATAACGTTTTTTTTTGCAGCATTTGTTCTGAGCGACACAACAGAATAATAATCTGGCGTTTAAATTATTAATTGCGCCGCTTAAAAATGACATCTGCTTGTTTGGGAAACTTTGGGTCCTATAAGTTGTTTTACTGGCAAGAATCGAAGAAAGAATTCGATTTCGAAAAAGCAGAAAGACGACTCAAAAATGAAATCGAACTTTCCCAGTTGAACAAACAAGACGTGCTGGATCTCTCAAGTGAAAATATAGACGACGAGAAGAAAAAACAAGAAGACTCGTCGGATTCTGAGAAAAAAGATGTCGTAAATGATTCGTCGCGAGAGATAGTGTGGGTTCGGAAACGACTCGACACTCGGGATCCGCGACATCTAGTGCCGACTCCGAGAGAGAAGTTGTACACTCCGAGGCCCTGGCCGGAGCCTAGGCCCTTTTTCGTACCCCCGCTATCCACTCCGTCTCTGGCCAAGTTCACGAGAGCTCACGAGGAAATAAGACCAGCTGCCTCTAATCCCAGTACAAGGTAAGCTTCAGCAAAAACTATTGTTAAGATTAGTTAAAACCAAACTGATTTCGTTAAAACAAATGGAATTTTTATGGCTCTTATTTCAAATTTGTAGCCCTTTTCCATTGACTAAGTGTATATTTGTATAATTAGCTTTTTCGGTCAATGGAGGTGAACTCGGAAAACTGTTCAGGAAGGACCAAAGCACGAGTTGATTCAGCTTAGTTCATAGAGCTGCTGTTTTTACCCTGATTATAGTATCTACTAGCACTCTTGGTTAGATTTGATGTCAGTTAATGTTTTTTTGGCAAGATTCGCAAAAGATCTACCTAATAGTTTGTGTTAGGACAGTCCTTCTTTTATTCTGCATTTCTCTTAAAACTTTTATAGCTATTTTAAACTTTTAAAAGTTGCTCGAAGCTTTTTACTTGATGAACAAAAATTGTAGGATATGTCAAAAAACTCTCCATTTAGGTTTATTACTGTTTGTAAAGATTGAAGCAGTTTGTAAAAATTAAAAAATGAATCAATTTCTCGAAGATTTCGTTATTTCTATTTTAGGCGTCTAGTTAATGCCTTTATTCAAATGCAATCTACTTCATTTTGGAGTAATAAATAACATATATCATAATAACATATATGGAGTCAAATATACAGTGCTGATTTAAATTAACCGGACAAAACGCGTCAAACTTGAAATTTAAAACGCATTTTTCTCAAATTGGGTTGAGTTTAGGTGAAAACTTATGAAGACAAAACTTGCTTAGAGTCTTAGCAGAATTAATATGGTGTAATTTGTTTTGCGAAATTCGGGTCCAAAAATTTACCCCAAAAATGGGTCATTTTGGCTTTTCTTAGTTAATCAAAAATTACGCCAAAAATACCCAGTCGATCACAGACAAAATTATATCAAAGTGAGCCCCTTACGTAGCTCAACAAACTTTAAAAGGGTATAATCTCCAAAATATTGTATAAGTTAATTTATTTTTGTTTGATAGACAAAATAGGTCATTTTTACTATATAAAATACCAACTTTTTATTTAAAAACAATTTTTAAACAATATGCAATTTTTTTTGGAGATTTTACCCTTCTTAAAGTTTGTTGAGCTATGTAAGGGGCTCACTTTGATATAATTTTGTCTGTGATCGACTGGGTATTTTTGGCGTAATTTTTGATTAACTAAGAAAAGCCAAAATGACCCATTTTTGTGGTAAATTTTTGGACCCGAATTTCGCAAAACAAATTACACCATATTAATTCTGCTAAAACTCTAAGCAAGTTTTGTCTTCATAAGTTTTCACCTAAACTCAACCCAATTTGAGAAAAATGCGTTTTAAATTTCAAGTTTAATGCGTTTTGTCCGGTTAATTTAAATCAGCACTGTATCAATGAACGCATTAAACGATTGAGCACCAAATCAAACCAATAGGAAGGATTGCGTAATTTATAAAAACTGCAGGCACTGGAAACTTTGTTTATAACTAGGGACGTCTCATGGTCGACCCTGCGTGAAATGCTGCCCTACAAGGGACGTCCCTGGACACTAACCCCCCGCAGCTGGGGCACAGACAGTGCCCTGCCCCCAATCTACACTGCCGAGAACCCTGACAGATTCCCCCACGTAAACAGTCCCATGACGAGGTACCTGGACGACATGCACAAAAACCACAGGGGATCTTTCAAACTGCACTGATGATAAATTGAACTAAAATAACTTACAAAAATCCATTTGCTTCACCTCTCCCTATACTAGAATTCAAGCTAGTAGTTTTAGTGGCATACCAGAATTAGGCGAGTTTGCATTCACGGGGTTAGATCTTATAGATAGGTTCTTAGAGGCTTTTGAATGAGCAGAGAACGAAACCCAGATTTGAAACCATTTGTGGAAAAAAGAGCCACAAGAGCTAGGGGATAAGTCACTTTCCGCTGTTATTTTTGGGTTTTTTTAATGTTGTATTGGTCATAAACACCAAAAGGTCATTTAAAGGTCACACCGGTGTCACTCGGGGTCAATCTCACATTTTGGTGGTCATTTCTAATGTCCTTTATCACTTTTCACAGGAAAAGGCCATTAACACCGGAAGAAGTCATCGAAGGGTTTTTGTTCGCGAAAATCTTTTTTTGGGGTTTGTATCTAGTATCTTTTGCCGCTATAAAGTCAATTTGCTCGCGTTCATTATTTTTTGAAATAGGCTATTTCCGGTCTAAAGGGTTGTTTTTCACAGTGCTATTAGCTTCCGATCCAATAGAAAATGGTTCAAATTACAATACATGATGTATCTTGCCACTACCAATCATATCCCAAACTTTTGGCTCCCTGCGTTCAGTGGGGGCCGAGAAACGACTTCGGAAAATAGGGGTAGGTTCTATTTTTTTAAGTTTATATCACCGGAAGTAGGTATCGGGTTAGTCTGGGGTTCTAAACTTAAGCTTCCCTTAACGAGGTCTATTACATACTAAAATTTGGTCCCGTTCAAACCACTAGTTACCAAGATCAGATAGGGCTACTTGCACTTCCGTTGACCATGGGCCTGAGGGGTCCCGTTTTTTGTAGGCCCAGGTCAAATCATCCTAACAAAGTTTTCTTTGTTAGTTCCGTTTTGGGGGTGGGGTAGTTTGCCGATTTGGTTCCACCCTTATTTTCTGGAAGAGCAACCAATTCTTCTAAACTCTTGCTAATTCGGAGTTCACTTTTGTAATCAATGTTAGGCTTAGACTACAATGGGACGTAATACAGTAGAATCAACAATTCTACAAAAAATAACGTAGTTTTTTGGCGGCAAAAAATTTCTGATAAAAGTAGTAAAATAAAAAAAGCCTAACAAATAGATTTAGTGCATCCGTACTACATATTATGCAAATTGTACCAACAGGTTTAGTTGACGAGGTACGCAGTGTCATTTTGAACATTTCCAGCCCTCAGTGAATAAAAATTGTGCAATGAAAAAGTATTTTTATCTTCATTCTCAAGTTGACTATACTCACCAATTTTTTTTTTGGAATATTTAGAGTTAGTTTCTTTCAGAAGTATGAACTCTGGTTGCAAAACTATCCAAAGGGACCCTCTTTGAGATAATTTTACAACAATCATTTTTGGCTGACAACTTCAAATTTTTATGAAGGCTCCTTTGGTGCCAAGATATTTTTTTGTTCAAAGATCTGAAAACCTCATTTTTAGCCCTCTTTTTAAAAAATTATCAATTGTGTTGAGTTTCAAAGGTAATAAATACTGTTGTTCATCTCTTTCATATCCGGTGTTTTTTCATCAATACCAAATTGAAAAAAAAAAAAAAACCAGTTGCTGCTTTGAAATTGAAAAAAAAATACGATTTGTAGACAAAAAAAGAAATATAATTGTTAGCTATGGACATCTTGTGCTAATTTTAGCGGAACATAGGCTGCTATTTTCAGTCCATCTTTCAAATCAGGGTTTTATCAGCTCGATTATTGACGCAGACTTCCTTATTAGGGTGGTAATTCAGGCAAACCAAGTTATTGAAAAACAGAGAAAATAAGCAGTGGTCCGATATATTATAGTTAAATTAACCCAATCCTTGAAGAAGGGAAACGGCTGCATAAATAAAATTGTACTGGTTATTTTTTTAAAATTTTTATATTGGCAAAACGACGCAGCAAACAAGACAAGAAGCACTGCTGAATAAGACACGTAAAAGTGCTTTGACTGCATTTAAAATCAATCAATTGGTACCTTCCTTCAACCCGCCTGAAGTCACTTCGACAAGCCAGCAGACCTATAAACCGAAAAGCAAGTAAGTCGAAAATAACAACAGGACAAAAAATAATAGCTTTTGCTTGATTCGAACAACCCCATAAACACAAAATGAGCCTCTAAGCGAGATTTTTTTCATAGTTGACTTTTTAAAATTGATTGCCTTAGAATGATACTTGTTATGTTTAAAGTATTATTTTGAGGCATTCGACCTCTATTTTTTCTATAATCAGGCATTCAATTTTTGTCGCTGAAGGTACTAAATTTCTATCGTGTATTTTTTACAAGAAGAGGAAGTAATTACCTAACGGTGAAAATTGGAAAAATAGGAAAAGGCGTCAAATATTAGCGCTGAGTTGTAGCTTAAAAATTTAATATCTTTTTATGTCTTCTGTTTTGAATTTTAAATTGAGAAGAAAGTTGCATCTGCATCATAAAGAGGTAAGTTTTTTTTTCGATAACAAATGATTAACTTGATCCATTTATCAGCAATAGCCAGCATTCTCTTTCGCCTTACATTTTGTCAATGAAAACATCCTCTAATCTTGTTGCCTCCAGTTTAAATTTTCGCCATTTAAATGTACACTGCAATACATTACGCAACTGACCATTTTTCGTAACGTTGAATTTATTTTATCCACGAAACAGCCTTTCCGACTCCAATCTTGCCAGTTAAAATTGTACTTGCTGAAAATTTGGGCTCATTTTGGTCGCAGAGCTTCTTTTCACAAAAAAAAAGATAATTTCATTACTAGAGCCCATTAATAGAAAAGAACCCAAAATTTTATACATTGGCTACTTAAGAAAAATTGGATTGTATAAATTTCTGCAAAGGCAAAAACATTTCAGAATGCATGATGGTTTTTGGTCAAAATTTTTTAAATGTTCGCGTGCGACGCAGAAAAATTGGTCAAAATAGGGTCTTAAATGTGGAAGAGCTCAGAAAACCAATTTGGTCGATTTACAAAAAAAAGATTGACAGTTTTTTTTTTGAAAATACGCCCTCCCCCCTCGAGAAAAACCTAGTGCCGCCTCTGAATGCATCTCTTTGCCAGCTGAAATCGCAATTAATCTGACGGTAGCAAGCGCTAATAGTTTGTAGTCTTAGTTTTTGAAGAAAGCGTCGGAATATTTGTGCTCGGGTAGTATGTTTTTTTTCTAAAAATGACTTTCGAATACCAAATTTTGACAGAACTTATAGTATACTCTCCAAAATATAGATGCCTTCAGCCTTCAAAACAAACAAGTTTCACCTGTGATCACTTTTTTTCTACTTCTGTGAAGCTGAATTGTTGAGGATTAGATTATGAGACTACTGGCAATTTAGGCAAAATAAAGCCCTTTTTTACCAGTTTTCTTATGTCGTAGCGTAAGCGGCTTTTTTAACCGGCTTCAAAATTTCGTTCAAGTTGAATTGCTGCAAGCTAATTGATCCAAATAACGCGTGATTTAATGAGAATAATATCACTCTAACGTTGGTTTTGCATATTGGGTTGAAACTTCGAAAAAAAACGTAACTTTCAAAAAGAAATTCAAAATTTTTAGAGGGAAATTACAACATACAGGGTTTCGCCGAGATACGAGCAGTCTTGTTCATTTGTACAACTGTTTTACTCACGTTTTTGTCAACTGCCGAATTTTATCTGATCTAGTTCCAATTATTTTTTTCTTCATATTTTTCACCTAGCCAGCAGTGGAGTTTCATGGGTTATAATAGATTCTATTAGATCAGGTTTTTATTGTCAGTCTCCACAGAAACTAAAATAAATGAGGGTAGGGGGCTTAAACAGGAATTAACATCTTTGTTGGATTTCTAGTTTTACAGAAAGTTGCAAAAAATTGAGTAAACATTTCATATCAACCAAAAATAATCATTTTTCATAGATCTAAAAATGAACTATAATGGATTTTTATGGATTTTTCAATACTGCAAATAATCGATTGAAATCACCTATTACCCATTTTCAAGCTCAAAAGGGTCTTGAAAAGCAATTATAAAGTTAAGATTTTTGCCATTGTAACCCATTGAAATTGATTTTTCCAAGAATTATTTAGTGCGTAACTCTTGAAAAAATTCGATGGCGTGAAAAAATGGAGGAAACATTTCCAAAAATTTTCCGAAAATTTTATTCCAGCCGTTCTTCACTGAAAAATATCATCGGTTTAGCAACTTATAACTGAGCCATGACTTTTTACTATTTGAGATAGTGATGAAAGCTTTTTGTCCCGACCGTTGAAAATGGGGAGGAATTTTGTATTCGGGATTTTAGTTTTTTTTTCATTTTTTGTTTTTTGTTTTCCACGCAACAAAGGTACTAAAAATAATCATCAGAATGGGTTCAGTAATATATCATATTGAATCTTTTTCAGTCGTGAATCGAATATGAAAAAAATTTAAATTTTTTTTTTCCAGTGTCAAGAAAAGTCTGATTTATGTGAAACAAGATAGTGAAATGATCGAACGAGTGAAACGATCGAGTAACGTTCGTTATATATGAAAATTTGCCATTTGAGCTGAAAAATTTTTTTTAGATATTGTTTTTATGCAATAAGTGTGCCCCCCCTTTTTTTCTTTCACGAAATAAATTATAGTATCATCGCAAAGAAATTAGCTTTGATGGCGTAAATTAATGAGTCACAAAATGCATAATAACTCTAGGCGCAATGAATAGAGAAAAATATTTTCAAAAAGAGATACTAGTCGTAAACTTTTTTGCAGTGTTGAATTTCTATTAGCGAAATATTGAAAACTGTTTTTTCTATTCCAATCCGTTTTTGGGCTATACAGATAATTTTCACTCACTTCCATTGGCTAATTTTTTTATAGCCTTCATTCTGAAAAAAGTCTATTCGATAATTTAAAAAATTTATGAAACACTTGAATCACAAAACAGTTTAAGGATATCCTCCTCATTTTCAGTTTCCATAATTGATACTAGCAGTGTTTTTATAAGTGACTTTTTATAGCTTCAAAAACATATTTTTTGACAGGTTTGAAGCATTTTTCTCATCCAATTGATATGTAAAAGTTATTTTAAGCGTGAAACGTACGCTTCCCCATTTAAAAAAAAACGCCTTCGGAAAATTTTAAAGGCATAAATTTTGCAGCTGTTTTTTTGTCGTTTTCATTGTTGAAAAGAAACAATTCTTTTTTCTAGAAAATTGAAACGATCGGAATGCTGAATAAATAAATTCATTTGATCTAACTCTGATTATGTATGATCTTCATCCTTAGATTTTAAAGCCATAAAACAAAATGTTTTCGGTGATCTGAAATAAATGAAGAAAAAACTCCAAAACTGATTCTTTGCGGTTGCTCTTATGAAAGATCATGAAAGCCGAAAAAAACTTAAAAGATTTTTTACAAATATATTTTTTCGGCAGTTTATCGCAAGTTATCTAAATTTTCTACTATGGCTCATCAGCATTCATATTGGCCTTCACTTTCTTCCATTCATTGACAATAAGAAATTGAAAGTATATCAACACTTTTTACTGCCCTTGCCTGAAAATTTTTTTCTGATATAAAATGAAGAATGATACACAATAAAACCATATTTGCTTTTAGAAAAAAAACTTATAAAATAATTGAGAGCTGCCAGATTTTTAAAAAAAAGTCTAGCTCATTTTGGTAGCCATTCTCTGATAGCTCTCACCATTGAAAGAAAATATCAGTTTTTACCGTCTCATGAAAACTATTGTCAAAACAATTTTCAAAAATCAAAATATTTCAATGTCGATATTTTTCGTTCCTTTTTTATCTTACACTATATGAAATTGAAAACAGCTGACATTTTATCAAACCCAGTAACAACGGTACCATTTTAATTATTACACAAGGATTTCTAAGCTGAAATGGGAACCTGCAGCTCAAATGAAAAAATGGAACATCCCCGTTTTGTCTTCTCGTGTTGACAAGAATTGAGAATCATACAATTACAGAGAATAATTTTTATAAAAAAGGCTAATCATACAAGCTTTTGAACATTTTTTTTCAAACTCTTAAGAAACGATTGGCTTTTTTAGAAAAAGTAATTGTATCACCATAAAAGAATGGAATTTGTTTGGCGAAGAAAACGGAAATCATACAATTTCCATTAATAGTTATTATTTGACTGTCATTTTTTGATGGTAACACCTGGCGAGTAGTTTTTATTTTGCCGGAACAAAAAATGTATTTTGTTTAAGCGCAAAACAGTTTTTTGTATTCAAACAAATTTTTTTTGTGCATAATGTAATGCTCGATACACAAAAGATGCATAATTTTTCTCTTTTTCTGCAATTGTTTTCAAAACGCTTAAAATCTATCTGTTTTGTTTGCTTATTTTTCAATGCTTCGAGCAATTAATGATAAATTAAGGTTTCAATTTGACGAAATTAGCTTCTCTGAAACTTCAAGGTTTGAAATAGCCAGAAACTTGAAAGCTTAACTTCTTCAACATTTTTTGAGTCAGACGTTTACGTGTATATTCAGGTCATTTTCAACACGTTATACATTCAAGACCGCTAATTCTTTGGTGCCTATGTCTCAAGCTTTGAGTAACTAAGATCTTAGTCACTTTTGTTCTGTTAGGGAAAATAACCAAAAGAAATTTTTCGTGAAAGTGTATGGTATAAAGCTAGTTATAACTACATAAAAATTAGCAAGATTAGCAGTTTTCGATACATGAGTTTGGTCATCATGGAGCATATAATTAAGTTTTTTTTTTTAAAAATTTCAAAAATGCATGGAATTTTATAATGCAAAAATTTAGAATTTTTGGTGTTACTGAAATTTTGGTTGGTCCCAAAAAAAACTAGAAAAACATTTTTCTGCTATGATATTTCTCAACAAAGCCATCCACAAAACATTAAAAATCGCCTCTCGCGGTAAAGATCAAATCATCGAAGCAATCATTCATTCTTTTTGTACCATTTAAAGCAGTTAGTAAAAAAAATGGGGCTCAAGATAGAAAAACGTTTCATGCATTCATATTTTTGCATCATCTGAAAGTTGAGCATGGAATATTTTTTTTCAAGTTTAATAATGTACGGAGAAAATCCTTTTTTTAAAACTCAAATTACATCAAAATAGATGTTTGTTTGAACATAAAAAATTGTGAGAAAAAAGACTCAATGAAAGCGCATACAAGACAACCGCTTTCTCAATTGATTGGGCATGTTTCATAATTTTATTTGGAATGATTGTAAATGATATCAATCGAAAAGTTATCTTGACAGTTTTGGTTGAAGCGTATTTTAGAATTAGTTCAATAATCAAATCTTAAAGTAGATAATATGACCAACAATTGTTTTCAAATGGGTTTCTTGTATCTTTTAATCGAACATGTTAACCTAGACGGGCTGATCATCCCTGATTCGACCTTACACCATGAGCCACTACTAAACTGGTTCTAGTCATTGATGAAATGACGATGATCCTGAAACAAGGATGATTTGTTTAATATAAATTGCATAAATGAATCAAAGAATATTCAGGGTGTCTAAGTCGTTCAGGAAATCAGCGCTGCTTCAGTGATTAATTATCGCTCTTCTGGAGTTCATCGATGTTTCAGGAATGATTCGGCGCTACTTCAGAAATAAATTTAACAGCGCTCATTCAGAGAAAGTTTAAGGCAATTTTAGAATTTATTCGCAATTTCGGAGCTGATACAGCGCTAGTTCATATAAGCTTCATTCCTTATCATGGTTTAAATTACGCTGATCAGAAATTGAAGCAGGGATGATTATCCCTGCGACGCCAAACCGGATTATTTTGAATAGAAAACACATTTTTTGCATGAATCAATTCCTGTTTCGATTGAAAATAACAGATTCAACTAGTCTTCACCCATATAAACACATTCTCAATTTCAGTCAAAAAAATTTCTCACTTTTAAACTGAAATGATTTTAATTGACATCAGAAGAAAATTATGTTATATTAGCTATTTAAGAGAGGCAATGTTCATTTTATATTTAATTACCAATTCAGTCTCACCTATAAATTTTAGCCAATACTCGGCAAACTAGGAATCTCAGAGAAATTTTTTTAACGTTGCATTCCAACAAAATGCATGCAGGTTCGGATTTTAAAAAAAATGTATAGTATGAAAGTTAGTTTAAGGCCAGTTATAAGTATCCATATGTAATAAAAACATAAAAACAACTGTATTATTTTTGAGTGAGACGTTCACGTGTATATTCAGGTCGTTTTGGACACATTCAAGACAGCTAATTCTGGTGCCTATGTCTGGTGCCTGTGTCTCAAGCCTTGTGTAATTCAGATCTTAGTCATTTTTTTCGGTTACGACACTATCCAAACTTATTGAGAAAAAAAATTTTTTTCGTAAAATTTATGGGGTAAGGCCAGTTCTAATTACCCATATATTAAAAAGTACTAGCCATAGACTTTTCATAAAACTTGCTCTATATATGGAATTGCATGAAATTAGCAAGATTAGCTTTATTTCAAGCAAGGACTTTGTATCATTAGCATGTTTGGTCATCCCGGGGTATCGTTTGGTCATCCCACGTTTTTTCCTAATTTTTAAGATGATTGGAATTTTATAAAGCAAACGTTTTCCGATTTTGGAATTTTACTGAAAACCGGTTTTTTCCTGTAGTGTTTTTTTTTGCTATCAGCTTCCTAACAAAACAATCTACAGCTCCTTAAAATGGCCTCTCGCAATAAATATCATACCATCGAAACACTCATTCTTTCCTTTTACAAAGCTTCAGCCAGTATTAAAAAAACTGACGCTTAAAATAAAAACCAAGTTTCAAGCATTCAACTTTTTGAATCATTCGAAACCTAAATATCGAATCTTTTTTTCGACTTGCTGGAAGTTAATTAAAGTGAGGAACCAAATTCCGTTTTTTTTTTCACTCAAAACACATCTAAATAGATGTCTGCTTGAAGAATAAAAACATCATAATTGTCAAAAAAAAGACTCAGTGTGAACGCATACAAGGTAACCGCTTCCTGACTGTTGTTCGGGCGTTTTTTATTCTTTCAAAAGGAATGATTGTAAAAGATCTCATCCGAATAGTTATCTAGACAAATTTTGGTAGAAATTTATTGTAGAATCCGTTCATTAATCAAATCCAAAAAAAAGAAAATAAGGCAGAAAAAAGTTTATTACCGGGTTTTCTTGGTTTTTTTTCCATCGAACATTTTTTTATAGTTTTGAATTTTTTATACAAATACATTTTTCTCAGTTCGCTTAGTCGGGCTAATCATCCCTGATTCCAGATTACACCAGGAATCACTACTGAATTGTTTTTGAGCATTGATGGAGTGACGCTGATCGTGAAACAGCGATGATTTGTTGATATTCAAGTTGATATTCAAGTTCCGAAGATGTTCAAGTTGCACAACTCAATCATAAAATTTTCAGGGTGAGTGTCTGACGCGTTCAAAAAATTGAATCAGCTCATATTTAATTGCTGAACTGATTCAGTAATTGAATATCGCTACTTTTGGAGTTCATTCATGTTTCAGGAATGATTCAGCGCTACTTCAGAAATAAAATTTACGGCGCTCATTCAAAGAAAAGTAAAAGCAATTTCTGAGTTTTTTGGCAATTTCGGAGCTGATTCAGCGCTTATTCGTGTAAGCTCTTTTCCTTATCACGGTTTAAGTGACGCTGATCGGAGCTTGAAGGAGGGATGATTATCCTTGCGACGCCAAACCGGCCTATTTTGAATAGAAAACACATTTTTGCATGAATCAATTCCAGTTTCGGTTGAAAACAACGGATTAAGTTAACCTTCATTCATTTAAACCCATTCCGAAAAACAGTCAAAAAATTTACATTTTTACAATGAAAGGATTTTAAATGACATCAGAATCAAAAAAATTGTCATGTTTGCTGTTTTGAAGAAATTTTGAATATGTTCATCTTCTAATTTAAAAATTGGCTATTTTTTCATAAAATTTTTGAAAAAAAAAACAGAATTTACTAAATATGTTGCTTGCTACGACTTAAATACGTAGCAAAACGATTCTGCTTGTATCAAACATACCAATTCTTTCTCACCTATGAACTTAAGCAAACTTTTGGCAAAAATTCGGCAAAAAGTAGGAAACTCAGAGAAAATTTTTACCGTCCTTTCCAACAAAATGCGTGCATGTTTTTGATAGCAACAATAAATATGTTTAATAGGAAGAATATTGTTGAAATGTTGAAATATTTGGTTTGATTGAGAACTTAAATTACAAAAAAATTTACCGACGAGTATTTGTTTTCAAAAACTTTTTTGGGATGGAAAATAGCTATTTGTGTATTTAGAGATTATTTGTTCTCCCGAAAACTCGTCTGATTGTCGCAAAAAACGGGTAGTCAGTTTCTCCATTTTCGGACTAAATGATTTGTACAAGAGCAAGAAATCCGGCATTTCAGTTTTACTACCTTTTAGGTTTGTTTCAGCTTTTTTCTTTCCTTTTATTTTTTTAATTTACCCGGAAAAAAAAACAATCGAAAATATTGAATAAAAATTGGTTTTTTCTTAAAAAATATTTCTACTTGATTTTGGTTGGAAAAGTTTGTGTAATTTGTGCTGAGCAACCAGCTAATTCAGTATTTGCATTTTTTGCATTCTTGAGATACAATTTCACCTAGCTTCCGATGGAAATTCTCCATCTTTCATCATCTAATTGCAGAACTGTTTGCTATAAAAAAGAAAAGATGTATTGCTCTTTTCATTTCGGAAGCATGAGCCAATTAATCATTTAATGATTTATGACTTAATTACTTTTTTCAGCTTTCAGCTTCTACCTCAGAAAAAAACATTTGTTATTAACGCGACAACTCGCAGACAACTTGCAACATAAGTCTTTAAAACACTCTAGGATTCCCCCGTCAGAGTATTGAAAAATTTAAAACAAAAAATCTGCAGTGAAAAGGACAATATATTTTTATATACTACTTTTTGTGTCTCGAAATTCCACGAAACGTTTTGAATCAAACCCAGGATCGATCTAGGACTTTCGCGAGGGGCAGGGGCCGAAACTATTCGAACCATTCAATGTATGAGCAAGTATCTTTTAATTGTTACTGTGAAATCTCTTTAACCATTCCTCTTTTGCAAAAGGGGTACATTCTTTTCAGGGTTCAGAATTCACATATGGGAGTTCACATGTGAGTTCATGGGAGGGGTTGAAATTCGTTACTAGGTACCAAAGCAGGGGCGGATTTAGGGGGGGGGGCGGGGGCTACGGACGCCCCCCCCCCCTCAGGGATTCGACCCCCTGCCGACCCAAAGGGTCCCCCCTTTGATACTTTTTCAGAAATCCATTTTTGGCCGACCGACCCTAAAATTTTTCTAAAGGCGCCTTTGGCGCCAATATATACTAACTTTGAGGGGGAGCGCGCGCCAAAAAAACGCGATTTTTTTGTCAAAATTTTTCAAAAATTGCCCAAAAACGGCTTTTTTGACTGTTTTTTTTTCAAAAATTTGTCTGCGGCGCAGAAAACTTAGCCAAAGTAGGGGCAAAACAGTGCTTTGGGAGAGCTCGAAAAATCAATTTGGTCGACCTAAAAAAATAAAAAGGTCGTCAAAATTTTGGAAAATTTTTGAAAATCCGCCCCCCCTCGAGAAAATCCTAGATCCGCCCCTGTACCAAAGTGGTATAGTTGAAGAGTTCAGCTAATGCGCATGAGCATAATTTATATTTTCTCTTTTAGTTGCGAGTTGTCGAATTTACAAAAGAGTAATATGTCATTTCGGAATATCCTTATTGCGATTGACGGGACCACTGAGTCGCAGCATGCTCTAAACTACTACGCTCATTTCTTCTACAAACCACAAGATGACATCACAATAATAGGCATCTTTTCTAGTTCCGCCAATTCCAATGTTGACACTTTTTGTAACTAAAAGGATTCTATAAAAATTTTCTAGCTCATTTTGATAGAGTTGGTTTTTTTCTTCCAATAAAGTTTTTTCTTCAGCTTAAGATCAAACACTTTTTTCCAAAATGGTACTCAAAGAAGATCTTCCCGCATAATTTCCTATCTAAAATTATCTGCGAAAGGGCGATCAGGGGGTGGGGGCTAGAAAAGGTGCGCTTAATAGTTCACGGAAGTTCGGGGGGTCAGAATATGTCGAAGCTGCTAGATGAGACATATGGGTTTTCGGGAGGCTATGGAATCAAAGATGCCTTCAAGAAGATAGTTTCAGATTGGGCCAAAGAACACCACATTGAAGAGTACAGGTATGATCCTTCCGATTACTTGTTCTGTAAGTAAGAAAGAACCAAGGCGTAGGGTGCGTGTTTCCGAAGGATTTTGATTGACTCAAAGAAATCTCGCAAATTTCGGTCAAGTTGGTATGTTACTGAATCCCTTTCAGCCGTTGTGCAGATTCGGTATCAAAATTTTATAAATAACTTCTCCTTGTTGAGAAAAATGGTCTAAATTTTTCGATTTTTCTACCAACTTGATAATACTGAACTTAATGACACCCAATTTAATTCGAAATTCATGTTTCCTGCTTCTAAATATACATTCATCTCATCCATGCAATTACTTATCTAGCTCAATTGCATTTTATTTACAAAACAACCTGAAGATGAGTTAAAAAGTTGACTTTTTTAAAACTATTTGGGTTTTTGAGAATTTTAAAAAAATTTGTTTCTGAAACAATTTTTTAAACCTGAGTGGTCGCATTTTTCTGTGCATTTTTCTCAGCAATGAGCTACATTGTCAATTTCTTTATTTGGTGTTTTTGATATGATTTCGTCTGGATTTCATAATAACACAATTCTTTTTCTCCTGAATTTGAAGATTTGATTTTTTTTTTCTAAAAGATAGACTAAACTTTTCGCTTTTCGCTTTCGTTTTTAATTCAAAATAGTTGGTTTTTAGAAAACTGACGCTCGTTTTTTAAATTAGGCAGTCTGAAAAATTTTAGCGCCATTTTGTCTTTTTCTCAAGTATTTTGGCATTATCGTTTTTAAATGTCAAAGAATCGTTATCTTTATGCTCTCTTGTGGTTGAAACTCATACAAAAAAGCTAAAGGCGGTCTTAAAATTTCTGAGATCACTCCTGATACATAAAGTTATGCACTAATTCAGTTTTTGAGATTCAAGTAGAGCATAATTGTATGTATCAGTAGTGATCTCAGAATATTCAAATCCGCCTTCAGCTTTTGTGTAGCAGTTTCAACCACAAGAGAGCACAATGAACCTTTGACATTTAAAAACGATCATCACAAAGTATCTTAGAAAAAGACAAATTGGCGCTAAAATTTTTCAGACTGCCTAATTTGAAAAACGAGCGTCAATTTTCTAAAAAACAATTATTTTGAATTAAAAACGAAAGCAAAATTTTAGTCCATCTTTTTGAAAAAAAATGGAAAATAAATTTATTCTATCAGAGCAATTCAAATACAAAAACATGGTCATGCAAATTGTGACTCTGAAATTTTACCTTCAAGTTTTAATAACTGAACTTTTAAAAATTTAATTTATTTTAAATGCGACATCTTAGTGTTTAATTGAACAAAATTACTTTTAATGGCCTTGAAGTATTTATTTTGATTGAGATTTTTGAAAGTTTTATCTTGAGATTTTTGAAAAGTTTTTAAAAATTCTGTAGACTCAATTCCGATAGGCTGAAAATAACTGAATATAAACCTCCAACATTTGGGCCCTCCACGCCAGCCAGATTCAGTTTTGTTTACGGTCGTTTTTGATACAAACAATCAAAAATCCAAGTCAAATTTCAGAAGTCACTCCATCAGGAACTTTGTTTCAACATTAAGTTCCCATACAGGGGGCGGATCTAGGATTTTGTCGAGGAGGGTGCGAATTTTAAAAAAAATTGAAAATTTGAAAGTTTTGTCGACCTTTGTTGTTGCTCTCCCAAATCACTATAAAGACCCCATTTTGAGCAAATTATCTGCGCCGCAGGCAAATTTTTGAAAAAAAAACCAGACGAGGCGTTTTTAGGCACTTTTTGGAAAATTTTGACCAAAAAATCGCGCTTTCTCGGCGCGCTCCCCCCTCCCTCAAAGTTAGTAAAATTTGGCGCCAAATGCGCCCTCAGATACATTTTAGGGTCAGTCAGAGAAAAATGGATATCTCAAGAATAGTACAAAGGGGACCCTTTGGGTCGGCAGGGGGTTAAATCCCTGAGGATACAGGGCGTCCCCACCTCTAAATCCGCTGGTGTTCAAATGCAATGTCGATACTCTTTGTCGTAATCAATTTATTTTTGTTGATCTTTTTTTGAATTTGTTTCTTTTTGTTGAACTTGATAAGCTCAATTTGTTTTTGTTACTCATTTTTGCTATCTAGTCGAGCTCAATTTTCTTTTTTTTTTGGAATTATTTTAGTTGGTTAGTTAGATCAGCTGTATCTTTATAACTACTCATGTGATTAATTAGTTCAGCTCAGTTTTGGTTCTTACTTGTTTGATTAACTAGTTTGATTCGAGATTTTATAATTTAATTGCTTATTACTTCAGCTCATATTTTGTTTTTTTTCCTCTTTTTTGGTTAACTAGTAAGGCTCAATTCTATTTTTTGTTTATTTTTAGACTAATTAGTTCAGCTCAGCTTTGTTTTCTGACTTTTTTGCTTAGTTCGTTCAGCCCAGTTTTTTGATATTTTTTTAAAGAACTAATTAACCTCAATTTTGTTTTTTTTTGTTATTTTTTGGTTAACTAGTAAAGCTCAATTTTTTGTTACTTTTTCAGCTGATACGTTACTCTTAATTTTGTTTTTATGAACTATTTGGTCAATCTCGGATTTGTTTTCTCGGATCTCATTAACTATTTCCCCCTTTTGATACCTAGTAACGAAGTACCACCCTTTTAATAAAAACAATTCAATGGTTAAGCCACTGCGAATTTTGTACCTAGTAACACATCTGACCCCTTTTGCAAAGGGACGGAAATAAATAGAGACACCTTCTCTCTAATTTTTTGATTAACCATTTACGCTCAATCTTATCTTTTGTTGTAATTTTTCTGGATAATTAGTTAAGCATAATTTTGTTTCTTGTAATTGGCTGATGATTAACTAAGATCAATTATGTTTTGTTATCGCTAACTTAGTAAATTAATTAAGCTAAGTTCTGTTTTTCCCCTCCTTTTTCCATTTTTTGTTTAGGATCCACGTGGTGTTCGCGACTAGTGAGAGCGAGCCGGGCAAGTTCATCTGCAGCTACTCTTCCAACCACCAAGTAGAGTGCATCCTAGTGCCCTGCCATGGAGTGGCACTGCACCACAAACCACTCAAAGTCAGCCCATTTTCACAACATCCCTCCCCCCTCACTACAAATTAGTGTTTGAGTTATATCGTTGAACGAACGTGTAGCTAGACTAGATGTATGCGCAGAAAATCAGAGCTGTTTGTTTCAAAACATGAAAAAATCGAAACTAAAACTGACATGTCTTAGAAAAAATCACAAAATTTCTACTTAACATTCTTGGAGGCTTCAAATATAAACTGAGCTTCAGAATAGAATTTCGTTGTCTGGAAACTTGGAAAAATATCACACCATATTGATAGAACCCTAATTTTGCGTCTGATTCATAGTTATTTGTTTCCCTTGATTAGATTATCAATCTTTAAATGAGAACTAATTCGGAGTAAGAACAAATTTCAGTTCACCTTGCTGAAAAGTTTTTTTTTCGGAATAAATAGGTATCGTAATCAATGTCCACGAAAAAAAATCAATTCAGTTTAATTTAAAATGGGCATGATAATGAATCAATTCATGATTTGAAGCCAATGAAAACACATTTATCCAACTAATTATTCGTTAGATCTACAAGAGCCTCAGTCATAAAAAAGAACTCAGACAGCGAGGATCGGAATTCCACTCAAAAAGCACCATCTCGGCGGTTCAGGTGGAAAGTTTCATACTGTTTATTAAAACAGAGAAGAAAATTAGAAGTAAAAAGATTTAAAAAAAAAACATATCAATTATATTTCCAAAAAATTTGAACGGAAACATAATTCATGTATTTGATTTTTTTTAAAACTGACAAAATTGACAGATGGAACAATCTAGAATTTCTACGATACAACATTTCCAAGACAACGATGAACTTTTCCCTGCTTTTTGCAAAGTACGAGCTGTTATAAACATAAGTGATTGTTGTCGTCTTAATTTTCATAAAACACGAGGTTTAGCATGTAAGATGATGTTCTGTTCTATGATGTGCAATTCAGTAATCCTAAATGTTTTATATGAGACACTATTGTTCAAACCAATAAGCGTTTTAAGCAACCTTTCTCCTGTCCAGGTCTCTAAAGTGCAAGAGTACGTGTTGAAAAACGCGGAGCAGCCGGTGCTAGTAGTCCCGCTGCACTTCAGCCGGATGTTGCCGGACTGCTTCAACCCCTCCTCCCTCCACCCTCCCCACCTCAGTCTGAAGAAGAGTAAATCTGCCAGCCCCAAACGACAAGTACGGAAAATGTGACACCCAAACGTCCTTGAACTCTCAATCTCCAATGATTTGCTTTCGCTACTTTGAGATAAGATTAAGTTTGATTGTAATTTTTTCTCAGTTAAGTTTCAAAATAAATCGCACTACTAGTTACATGTTTATTATTTTAATTTGATGTTAAATCATCAATATTTTATCGGTTCGCGATTTTAGCCCTGAGCTTATACCGAGGGTTCCTTCTTTCCAAGTGACCAAGTTAAAGGGTGCCCAAAATTCGGTTATCAAGGCGATACCCAAAGTAAAAATTTGGAATTCCATGGTCTGTCTCACAAGTGCTGCAGACATCAAAATCGAAAAAGATTAATCATATCAAAAACGAACTCAACAAGACTGCTCCTATCAGGGCGAGGCCCTAAATGTGTCGACTGCCTTTTAAAATCTATGGAGCATAAATGGTGGCAGGACAATCTACCCTATTCCAAACTACCCTATACCATTCTACCCTATGCCATTATACCCTACATACCAATCTACCCTATAGCAATCTACCCTATACTAATCTACCCTATACTAATCTACCCTATACTAATCTGCCCTATATACCAGTTTAACCTGTGTCGATTTGGCGCATAGTAATATAATCTTTCCAGTCCTAATTAGAATCGGAAAGATAACAGCACGTGTTAATTCATTTGAGTCTAAATTTTTGGACTCAATTTGAGTCTTTCACTTAAGGATATTGTTCTAACGACTAAATCGCAATTTAAACCTCAAAATCTGAAATTTGTCTCAATTAACAGGTTTTAATCCCCAATTTTCAAAATCACGCACAAAAATGAAACATGAAAAAAATAAATGAAATAAAATAAAATGAAAACAAAATTTAAAACTTGATATATTTTTTAAAACCATCCCCACCACACCCAATACAAAATACAAAGTGATAGATTTCACTCCTAGTAAATTATCAATTATGGCAAAAAAGCTTCCTTCAATCAATTTGGAATAATTTAATTGACGGAATAAATCTCCGCTTACGCGTCAATAGCGCAAAATATATCGCGCGTTAATTGTCCCAAATTGGCCAAAATGACAGTTTTTAAACCCCTATAACTTTCCGAAAAAAGATCACAGGTAAGATATCTTTCCAAATTTAAGGCCAAGACAACAATACACTTTGAATGATTTTAAAAAACGTCAAAAATAGCTAGTTTAAAAGTCGAAATTTGTCTGAAGAAAGAAAAACCCACCCCGAGCACAAATAATCCGTTAATTTTGTTACAAAAGTCGGAACAATAGTTCAGTGTGCACATATAAATCAGAGAAATTATTAATTGACCATGAGTTTCTAGCTTAACAAAGCTTTTTTTATAACTACCGAGCTGCAAATTTCATTCAAACATTTAATTGCTCCTGAATGTTCTCATCTAATCGGATTTCAACCTAGAAAGAAGTCAACCTTTTGAATTCGGTTTTTTCTGTACTTGCAGATTTAGTGACTGTACAAAGTCAATGAACATCACTTGCTGTAGGAAAATTTATACATGAAGGTTTAATTTTTACTGCTCTAATTTTGCTTAGAGAGAAAAAATGAAGGCGGAGCAATAAGCAGAATGATCCAAGTGCAGAATAGGTCCAGGAGTAGAAAAACAGAAAAATATTGGTTTACACGGGCTAATTGATAAAACAATTATTAGAACTGTCAAAAAACACCAAGAAAACGAATAAATTATGCATGAATTGACTAATTTCATGAAGTTTTTTGATTTAATTAATTTGATTCTTGAAAAAATTACGCAAATTATGCATAAAATGTTCGCTGCTTTGGTATTATTGACATTTCTGATATTAATTTACCCATTAACTTATAAAAATTGATATTTTTCTGTTTTTCTGCTCTTGGACCCATTATGCCCTTAGATATTCTGTTTATTGACTAACTGACAAAAATGTACTGATCGCAGTATAATCTGCGCAGCGATGAAAATAATATTATTCCAATGTTCCAAAGAAAAATGCGATTGTTTGGGATAATTGCTACATAAGCCATCTATTTGGAAACCCGTAAGTAGAACTGTGTTTCGACCAACCTCAAACTCCAAACCAACCTCAATTATTTCAAAAATCCCTTTAAGGAGAAAACACTGCAGTTCTCAAAAACATGCAAAAAGCAGCTTTCATTTTATTAACGGAATACCGAGGAAAAAAAGACGGAAAGGAAAATAGGTCTGAAAAAGACTTGCGCTAGAAGGACTGCGCCCAACCACTATCTGCTGTGCGATAGCCGGCCACGGGGAAGTACAACAGTGCCGAAGTACAATAGTACCGAAAACAAAGACGTTAATCAACAGTGCCGAAATTTATTTTGAATACTATTGTTACTCATCCCAAAAGTTACAAGTAATTTAATTCAAACTGACGGAAGTTGAAAAAGGCAAAAATGACAATTTTAATTGATTCCGCTTGCTAAACAATCAGGAGTTCCGCAAGCACTTTTCTGAGCAAACGATTAACTCTCAATGTTTCTCCAAAAACAGTATTCATACAAAATTGCCATCAATTCGCAAAGAGAACTCAAAATTTTCAAAAATCATGAAGTTTCGACAATGTTGAACACATTTAGAATTTCGGCATTGTTGAACGCCCCCACTTAAATTGTCCATTAGACCACTGGCCGCGACCGACGTAATCATTAAATTTTTTCAACAAATTTGAACAGCAATTACCAGGACGCAATAAATGTGTTTTTCTCAAGTGAGTGAAATATGGTAAAAATTTGCTTATTAGAATTTTATCTGTGAAAATATATTGAAAGTAGGGGGAACCCATAAACTGAAGACAGGGTATAACTATGATAGAACCCCGGTCGCTTATGATTAAGAAATCAAGATTTCTCAATTCTTTGTAATTTAGAAGGCGGCTACACAGAAATATAGACCCGTATACCATTAATTAAAATTTTTTACGCAAATTATCAGAAACGAATTCGCCGTTTAAACCCTTTCAGGGAGGAAAAATGAGAATTTCTGCAGATTTGAGCTTAAAAGTAATGCAGTTTAACGAATTAGTGTGAAATGATTAAAGGTTGTGTCAATTTTTGTCATGCTAGGAGCGTAATAATTAACATCCGAATTTAGATTTTTGTAAATCAGCCTGATTCTCGGGTTTTTTTATGCATAAATTATTTTATCAATTCAGTTTCCAATTTTGCACCTGCATTTTGAAGCAATTTTACATACAAGACATGACCATAAAGACCTTTACGAAATAGAAGATCAAAACAATACCGCACGAAAAACTAGAAAAGACCTTCATCAACAAAAATACTATGACTTTGTAAGACTGCTTTACCTAAATAAAAAACAGGGCAGTGCGTTTTAAGTTGACAAAAAAGTGCAGACGTTGTAGCACAAAATTTTTTTTTTTTTAAATCGGGTTAACACAATCTCAGTCAGATCAGGGTCCAAAAACAGGTTATGATGATTTGAGCAATTTATATGTTTTAGAAATGTAGCGCGTGACCCGCAGCTCCAGAGCCACAACCAGAATTTTATTAAAAACACAAAAAAAAAGAAATGTGAGGCAAAGGTAAATAAGACTGGAGACATCCAACAAGATATTCTTTTTCATGATTTGAGGGATTTAACAATAGTTTCAATTGCAATTTTTTTTTAACTTGACCGCTCATATCTCTAGAGCCAGGGGCAGATTTAGGGGATGGAGGCGTTATGGCGGAACAGTCCCCTCAGGAAATAGGCCCTAACAATTACCAAAGGGTCCCCTTTGGACAATTTTTCTAAGTTTTTTTCAAAGGGCGCCTTCAGCGCTGGTGTCTTCGGCCTTTAAATCAAGGAAAATTTTGAGGTGTGATTCAAGGTGTGAAAATGCGTCTTTTTTGAGGCCTCAAATTGGACTCAGCTTATGACTCGAGGCGGGTACCTGCTAACAGGTACCTTTCAATCTGCCTCAATTGCAGTATATATACCCCGTTCAAAGCTATCTAGCTCATTCTAGATTGTTCTTCACTGGAATTTCACACTGCACTCTGGACTGGACCCTGGGCTTCCTTTTCAACCTTCCAGATGTCAAAGAGGACTGCTCCCAAGGAATTCAAGGCTTCTGGCTTCAAGGCTTTCTTCACCAGTGGAACCAAGAAGTCACCACCTTTATCCACTGCAACCACTCCTGAGCCTAACAACCCTGGGCCATACACTCCTGAGAAGCTCACACAGTGCCTTTACCTAACTTCTAGATTCTTCTTCACTGGAATTTCACACTGCACTCTGGACTGGACCCTGGGCTTCCTTTTCAACCTTCCAGATGTCAAAGAGGACTGCTCCCAAGGACTTCAAGGCTTCTGGCTTCAAGGCTTTCTTCACCAGTGGAACCAAGAAGTCACCACCTTTATCCACTGCAACCACTCCTGAGCCTGACAACCCTGGGTCATCCACTCCTGAGAAGCTCAAACAGTGCCTTAACCTAACTCTGGTCAATTCATCGCAAGTTCGTGCGATAAGCCGAGCTTTTGCCCTAAAATCTCGAATATTCACCTTACTTCACGGTTCTGCAAAGCGTTCTGATGCTTTCTGTGAGAACATACAGAAGTTGCAGGCCGAAGCTAGCAAGACTGCATTCCCAAAGATGTCTAACACTCGAGGGGTTGAACGACGCAATGCTGTTCTGACCAAAAAACAGTATTCATACAAAATTGCCATCAATTCGCAAAGAGAACTCAAAAATTTTCAAAACTCATGAAGTTTCGACACTGTTAAACACATTTAGAGTTTCGGAATTGTTGAACGCCCCCACTTAAATTGACCATTAGACCACTGAGCCGCGACTGACGTAACCATTAATTTTTTTCAACAAATTTGAACAGCAATTACCAGAAAGCAATAACTGTGTTTTTCTCAAGTGAGTGAAATATGGTAATAAATTGCTAATTAGAACTTTATCTGTGAAAATATATTGAAAGTATGGGAAACCCATAAACTGAAGACAGGGTACAATTATGATAGAACCCCGGTCGCTATTGATTAAAAAATCAAGATTTATCAGTTCTTTGTAAATTAGAAGGCGGCTACACAGAAATATAGACCCGTATACCATTAATTTAAATGTTTTATGCAAATTATCAGAACAGAATTC